TTTGTAAATTTTCTCACGTTAGTTTTTTTATTATCACTGGAAGACCACCCTGGCTCATTAGTGTCAGTGACATAACCATAATGACGTATAAAATAGTCACAAAGAGTCGAAACCGGTAATATTTCTGTAGGAAATGCTTACGTTATCCTAGTTCAGACAGGGCAAATGAGTTTCATGTTCCCTTGTCTTATCCATATGGACTCAGCTAATGCGGCTTTGGTATAACTTTCGCATCCACATTGGAGCATTAAAAACGTTGAATTCCACATTCATAGTGGATTCTGCGGACCAATATACTCTGAAAATCGCACATGGTCGCATTCTGGCTGTGGGCTAGCTACACCATATCCTGTGCTGTTCTACCTATATAATAATTTTTCCAGCCTACCTAGTATTTCCCTAAAACCTTTCCGTCTGTTTTCTCAACTTTTACTACGTTTAATGAGAAAGTATGCTTTTCGGCCCATTGCGTCATGCTTCGCTACTGCAGCGAATTACACGTTACCTTAGGCATTCCCAGTTACTACTCCATATTCGGAACTTATTCCGCCTAGCCGCTTTTTGTATTATTTCTTTCTTTTTTGTATCTATTTCGAAAGCAGAACGTGAATTTAGCGGTGGCTCGAAAATGGCTCTATCCGCAGCTGACCGCTAAAAATGCAAATATCTCCATAACCACTGCACCTAGCTTAATTATTTTACCTTTGTCGTAACCAGCGCCTAGGGTTTGTCCTAGACCGCCCATTGTTGTCCTGTTTTAGTTAACCTTTCGGCTCCAAAACGGCGTTGATTCCGCTTGTTTGGGGATTTACACTTTGAAATTCGCGCCAGGTTTGCGGTTCTGGTATGCTGTTTCTGGGCTATATTTTTGCTCCATTTTCCAATGTTAGTGTATTTTCTAGTTAAGTGGGCCGGCCTTTCAGTCGCACTTTTCTAAGAAAGGCTAAATTGTTAGCCACTACTGTTATTTCCCTTGTTTCCACCCTCCACTTTTACGATCTAATTTTGGCTTGCTTATTCCTTTCCATGAGCCCGCTACTAATGGATGCTCGAAATGTGGTGATGTGACCAAAGAAAATGGATCAAATGTCCTCTAGTGGTGCATTTTCCATCGAAAATAACACAATCCCTTGGCATAATAGATTGATAGTTTACTAATGGAATCATGCACCTCAATGTTTGGCAGCGGTAGCTGGTGAAAAGCGCAGAATTCGTATATAGGCCACGGAGACCCAAACTACTGACTTCAAAAATGTTGAGGCCTACGAAACGTTTGTATTTATCCCCGCCTTACTGTTCGGAAAGATAAACACGATCAAAAACAGTTGTTAACGATATTTCTTCTCCATGAATGAGCATGGATGTTATGTACAATTTGATCAGATCCCACGCAAGAACAGCATCAAGCGCTTGTCTAGAAATATACCTATATTTATTTATATTTATATTTAATCTAGCGGGACTAAATGGCCAAGGTAAATCCGGACCAACCTTCCCAGTTAAGATACGGTAGGTTAGGATTGGGTCTCCTCTAAGCCTTCGGTAGTGCATTGAGTGCATTCCCATACTACGTAGACGCTCGGGGTACGTCCGTCCCCGTACTCCCTCGACTAACCTAGTACCCACTCGTAAAACCCTCTCTAGCTCCAGTTGTCCCGAACGAGGCAGGGCGGACAAGCCTGGACGCAGTATTCCAGATGACGCCGAACGAAAGCCGAGACCAGCCTCGTAAGGATGCCGCCCGCCAAGACTCCGAAAGACCGTCAAATTAACCAAAACATGCGGAAACCTCTGCTTGCGGCCTTCTTCCAGTTGTCGCCGGAGGGTAAGGCCGAAGAGTGTACGACGCCCGGGTCAATCTGGCTAGATACACGGGGAAGTTTGACTTCACCGACCACGTACTTCGTAGAAGGACAACCTCCTCCAATTCAAAGAACGGAGCAATTTGCTTGAATTATGGGCAGCAACCATAAAGTAGACCAGTCCCGGAGCTTACCCATTGCTCGCTGAATAGCTTCCGAACCCCCAGGAACATCGACAATGGTCCACAGCTTTAGGTCGTCAGCAAATAGCAGCGATGGTACCTCAAGCTCCGCGGGTAGGTCATTCACATAGATAGAGAACAGCAGCGGTCCAAGGACCGAGCCATGCGACACGCCACTGAGGACAGACCGCCTAAACGATAGGCCCCGGCCTACCCGTACGCACTGTTCTCTACCCTGCAAGAAGGCAATCACCCAATGAAGGGCGCGGCTAGATACCCCGTAGGAGGACAGCTTTTATGCGAGCCTCAAACCTGGTACCTTGTCAAACGCCTTTGAAAAGTCGACAAAAAGCACGTCCAGCGCGTGACTGTTATCCACTGCATCCGCCCAAATTACGCTAGCCACCAGTAGATTCGTCAGACACGAAAATCCCTTCCGGAATCCGTGTTGTACATTGCTAAGTAGATTACATCTTCTCAGATGACTCTCCAATGAATGTCTCACCAGTTTCTCGAGGAGAATGACTACTACACTCGTCAGACTAACTGGCCTGTAATTTGAAGGAAGACCCCTGTCCCCACTTTTGAAGATGGGACAGATGACAGCTTCCTTCCATTCGGAAGGCAATGCACAGCTGTCAAGCGATTTCTAAAAATAAAATGCCCCTTCGCGCCCCTCTCATACTTCTGTCCAGTTCGCATGTAGTGCTGATAACTGAAACGTGGCACGCAGCTGATATGCCTGATGACCCGCTGCACATTCCTGGGTACAGGACTTTCTGTAGCGGACGCATAAATCAACGTGGCGGCGGTTGCCTTATATACATCAGCAATGAATTCCACGCATATTATTTTCAAACCATACCACTTGAAAATCCAGAAGATTCTGTCTAGCTTCAGGCCATAGGAGGCCAAGTTGACATTGTGATAGGCTGCATCTACAACCCACCGCATCCGACTAGTACTAGAGCTGACGAATTGGCTAAGCTCTTTCACGAAGTTTCATTCCTTCCAGCCCGTCATACAATAATCGGCGGAGGCTTCAACATGCCCCATATCTCGTGGCTTACTCAATCAGCACCATCTAGGTACAGGGCCTTCATACACACTGTCTTCACACATGACTGGACTCAACATGTGCGCGCACCCACAAGACTGTCCAACTCCTTGGACCTAATATTCACCAACGGTATCCCGCATGCAACTGCCAGTGTCTTAGATAGCATTCCGGGCAGCGACCACAAGGTTGTGAGGCTATCATTCAAGCTAGCTAAATTCCTTCATCCTGTTGGCCCGATCTACGCTGCCTTTAGGCCTCTACAGCATATGAATTGGGAGGCCTTCTCTTCACTTCTCTGTGCCGCTCCTTGGGACACTTTCTTCCTGACAACCAGTACAGACACTGCAACTTGTGAACTTTACAATAACTTCACGCTTTGTCTCGATACCCTAGCCCCAATGGAGCGTTCGATCAGGAGACCTCAAAATTCCGATGACGCCCCCACGCGTAAACTTACCACTAAGCTTAAGAAAAGGCGCTCTCGCTACAAGCATACTAAGGATGTTCACCTCATAATTCGTATTAACGAATTGCTAGTGGAATGGAGAAACTCGCAAAATCATGTACACACTTTAGCTGAGCCTACTGCACTGCGCAGTGCGAACAAGGCTAAGTCACTCGTACGACTTATGAAGCATCGCAGTGGCCGCAACGACTTACCCATTAACTCACTAGTGCTTCCTGATAACAGGGTTATTACTGATGCAGCAGAGTTGTGCGAGTTCATTAACGCACACTTCTGTGATGCCTTCATCAGCACTAATGTGTTACTGCCAAATACGATTCCAAAGTTTACCAACGATCGCATTCACACCATTGATTTATAAATAAATAAATAAATATTTATTCTCGACTATGCGAGGCACGCCAGTTGAGGCATGATCAGGTATGTACAGCTGTACAGACATTTTATGGGAACTGCAGTGCCAGTAAAAAATTGTTCATATGTCCATGCTTGGAACTGTGCGATGGTGAACATGCGAAAGAACGATTGGTTTTGGACATAATAGCTCTGCCAAATATCGCAGTCATACCTCGAGTACTAATAGATAAAGAATCCTGAGTGATCCATTGGAAGATAATTGAAGAGCAAGCTATCCAGTATGATGATTCTAATTGAGCTGCCAGTGAGAAATTATGGACTGTGACTTTATTCGGTGGCGAGTCACATTCGCCACGTTGCAGTGTTGTTAAACGGACATTTGTGGCTTTTTATAGGGAGAACGCTTGCCAGGCGAAAACCCACCACGTCCTGAAACACTGCCGCCAATCCATTGAATGGCAAGTTGTAACTGGCTATGTTTCTTGTGGAACGTTTATTTGCTCCGTTATTCGCAGTCAAGTTGCGTCCCAATTTTCTGCTGACTGATGCGCTATGCGAGCGGCCATTGCGTGCCTGGGTTCTCTCCTGTGCCAGATCTGTAGGTCAGGAACTAAGCATTCTTTCTGGATATGATGTGTTGATCATCTGCAGAACCACGTGAAGCCTCGAAGAATATCCGTTGAAATATGTTGAAGTCTTGGAGGACTGGATAGGTTCCGAAGAAAGAATCGCAGATCCCCCAGGGTATGTAGTGAAATTGATTAGAGATTGTGGTAACCACGGCCATTTGAGCGGTCAAAGCGGATTGAAGAGCTTAGAATGACCGATTGTTCAAGCTTTGTATTGGCAGGAGAATGTGCCTTCCGTAGTCGAAAGTCCTCCAGTCAAGAGATATGTGGAATAGGTATTGTTAGATAAATTGCACTCAGTGGTTCATGCCGCGGAAGAATTGATTGATTTGTCCAGTTAGTAAGTTGTAAAAAAGTTGATAATTTTCCGCTCATGTCCAGGTAGAGGAACTGTGTGCCTTGTATTGTTGTCGAAACGGAGGACAATTCCTTGGGTGCGGGTCGCCGTACCTGTGACAGACTCGGGAGAAAAAGGAAACGAACAGAGACACGACCTGAACAATATTAGTCGAGCTCTACGCTCTCCCCCCCCCCCCCCCCCCCCCCCCCCCCCCCCCCCCCCCCCCCCCCCCCCCCCCCCCCCCCCCTCCGGCCTCTCACCCCCCCCCCCGTCGCCCCGCGGCCCCGCCGCGCCCGGGGCCCCCTTGAGGGCCTCACCCTGTGTTTCTTCCGATCCTTTTTCCACCCCCCCCCCCCCCCCCCCCCCCCCCCCCCCCCCCCCCCCCCCCCCCTTTTTGTGTCCCCCCCCCCCCCAGGGGCCCTAGGGATACCACACTGGGCTCCCTTACTGTCCTCCCGCCTTCCGCCCCTCCGCGCACGCCCGGCTAGCCCCCGCCCCCCCCGCGCCGTCCCCCGCCCCCCCCGGCGCCCGCCCCCGCCGCCGGTGCGCCGGGCTCGAGGCACCGACGGCGGGCCTCCCCCCCCCCCCCCCCCGTGCCCCCCCCCCCCCCCCCGCCCCCGCCCCCCCGCCCCTCCGCCGCCCCGGGCGCGGCTGCTCCGGCGCGGCCGGTGGCGCACGCCGCCCTCACCCCGGTCCCCGCCCCGCGCCCGCGGGCCGCTCACCGCCCCCCCCCGCGCCACGGGACGGCGTCGCAGGCCCCTCCCGCGGCCGCTGCACCCGCCCCCGCCCCCCCCGCCCCGGCGCCCCCCCGCCCCCCCCCCCCCCCCCCCCCCCCACGCCCCCCCGCCCCGCCCCCCCCCCCTCCCCGCCCCCCGCCCCCTCCCCCCCCCCCGCCCCCCCCCCCCGCCCCCCCCCCCCCCCCCCGACGTCTCCGGGGGGGACGCCCGCCCGGCCCCCCCCCCCCCCGGCCGCGCGGCGCGCGCGCGGCGCGTCGTCCCGCCCCCCCCCCTTGCGCCGACGGGGCGGGCGGGGCCCCCCCCCCCCCCCCCGCCCCCCCCCCCCCCCCCCCGCCCGACGGCTCCCCGCGCACCCCCCGCCCCCCCCGTGCCCGCGCCCACGCCCCCCCCCCCCCGCCCTCCGCCGCCTCCGCCCGCCCCCCCCCCCGCCCCGCCCCCCCCCCCCCCCCCCCCCCCCCCCCCCCCCCCCCCCCGCCTCCCCCGCCGCCTGCGGGTCACCGCGCCCCCCGCACTCGCCGCCCCGGCCCCCCCCACCCCCCGCCCCCCCCGCCGTCCCTCTCGCCGGCCCGCCCCCCCGCCCCCCCCCCCCCGGCCCCCCCCCCCCCCCCCCCCCCCGCCCCCCCCGCCCACCCCCGCCCCCCCCCCCGCCCCCCCCCGCCCCCCCCGCCCCCGCCCCCCCCCCCCCCCCCCCCCCCCCCCCCCCCCCCCCCCCCCCCCCCGCCCCCCGCCCCCCCCCCCCCCCCCCCCCCCCCCCCCCCCCCCGCCCCCCCCCCCCCCGCCCCCCCCCCCCGCCCCGCCCCCCCGCCCCCCCCCCCCCCCCCCCCCCCCCTCCCCCCCCCCTCCCCCGCCCCCCCCCCCCCCCGCCCCCCCCCCCCCGCCCCGCCCCCCCCCCCCCCCGCCCCCCCCCCCCCCCCCCCCCCCGCCCCCCCCCCCCCCCCCCCCCCCCCCCCCCCCCGCCCCCCCCCCCCCCCCCGCCCCCCCCCCCCCCCCCCCCCCCGCCCCGCCCCCCCCCCCCCCGCCCCCCGCCCCCCCCCCCCCCCCGCCCCCCCCCCCCGCCCCCCCCCCCGCCCCCCCCCCCCCCCCCGCCCGCCCCCCCCCCCCCCCCGCCCGCGCCCCCCCCCCCCCCCCGCCCCCCCCCCCCCGCCACCCCCCCCCCCCCCGCCCCCCCGCCCGGCCCGCCCCCCCCCCCCGCCGCCCCCCCCCCCCCCCCCCCCCCCCCCGCCCCCCCCGCCCCCCCCCCCCCCCCCCCCCCCCCCGCGCGGCACGTCGCCCCCGCGGCCGCGCTCCCCGGGCCACCCGGAATACACCACACACCAAAAAACAAAAAAACACCACAAACCAAAACCACACCTACAACCTAAACGTGCCGGGGCGCGCGGGTCCCTCGCACGGTTCGGGGTTCCTGCCAGGGGCGCCGACCCCCGTCGGGGGTCCCCGGCAGGAACGCGGAAGCTCGGGGTCTCCACGGCCCCGCACGGGCCACCCCGGGCTCGGCTCCTTACGCCCCCCCCCCGGCCCGGGTCCGACCCCGGTGCTGGTGGTGCCCCCCCCCCCCCCCTGGCGGGCGGGACCTCGGGCCCCCCTGTCGCCCCCGGCCCCTGGGGCCCCGCCCCCCCCCCGCCCTCCGGCCTGGACCTCCAGTGCTGACTGGGGTGTGGTGTGTGAAGCCCATTGTGCGGATTTCGAGGTGGTATTTAATTGTATGTGGATGGCCGGTCCGCCCACTCCGGACTCGCACCCCCCCCCCCCCTCCCCCCCCCCCCCCCCCCCCCCCCCCCCCCCCCCCCCCCCCCCCCCATTTTTATTATTAGTTTGTGGGAATTTTGTTTTATTCGTTGTTTCCTAACGTAAAATTTTACCGCTCTTGTGTGTGTCCCCCCCCCCCCCCCCCCCCCCCCCCCCGACCCCCCCCCCTGGTACTTTGTTTGCCTATCCACAAGTTAATTTGGCGGCATAGCTTCATCTTGCTGGCCTATCCAGACTCGTCTGAACGGTCTCCTGTTTTCTGACCTAAATCCTACGGTTTTCACTCTTTGAGCTGATTTTTAATCTCGTCTCAATGGTCTCTTTGTTTCTGACTATTGTGACCTGGATGATTGGGGATGGGCAGACTTATCAGTCTACTTTCCCTTCTCAGTGGTCTCTTTGCTTTTGACTGCCGTGACCCGATTGATCAGTGTTAGGCAGAATGGTCTCCTGTTGTCTGACCTTTCTCGGGCTTCTGCGATCTAACTGTTGTAGTCACTGCCGACGCAACACTTTGTTACCCTCACCTCAAGAACGTTGCTGGTCGTGACTAATCGTTATCATCATGTCCCCTCTCCTCCCTAACATGTCCATTCCTGCTGATTCTCTCCGACAAAATTCATAGCTTACTATTACGCTTTTCTTCTTATGAGCCGACTTTCTAGTCTGGTCTGAACGACTTACCTTCCGACTTCTGTGACCCTTATGATCAGGGGTCGGCAGACCCAGTGGTCTGTTCATATCACGTCGGGAATTTCGCTGACTTTTCCACTCATCAATGAAAACTTTTCCTTTTCTCATTTTGTTTGCATTCCTTTTTCCACTGGTCAGGCAACCCTCCGGATCTGGCACTACTCTAGCGGCGTCTGACAAGCCACTTGCTTTCTGACTACTTCCGTACATTCCAAACGTTAACGATCTTGGCTTTGTTTTCCTGGAGTTCTGTCTCCCTTATCCTGAAACCGTTCCTCTGCATGCAACCGCCTTTTCATATGGCCACTTGCTCCCCAAACTACTTTTCTGATGACACTCATTACTTTATTCCCACCTTACTTTAGAGGCCTAGCTTGAGCTTGCTGACTTACCCGGGTTCGACTGTAAGCTCTCCTGCCTTCTGACATCGCTCGGACTTCTGTGATCTAGACTCTGCCGACGAAAGTCTGTTACCCTCACCGCAAGACCACCGCGGTTCATGATTGAACCTTATTATCATGTTATTAACATGTTATTTATCAATCTTCTTGGCAGTAGCTAGTCATTGTTGGCTCCATGTAACCTGCAAAGAGCAACTACTTGACACTCCAGCTTTCATTTTCCTCTGACGTCTGTCTCCTTATTCGGCGCTCGTCTGTTGACCTATTCATTGAAACTGTAGGTATCCAGTAGTGGTCAAAATTCTTAATCATATGGCTTCACCAGCCACTGATACATCTGTAGCGACCTGGAGATTCCCCCGTATGACTGCGTAAACTATTCTAAAATATTCAAATTATAGCTTTCTTATGTATTAGGGAACCATTCGGTTTGCCTGTTGGAACGTTGTTCCCGTTTGTTGAAAACACGAAGACGATCTCCGCCTTTGGCGCGCGGCTCGACTGCGAACGACGCTCCGTCTAGGCTCTCGACGCCAACGACATTCTCCCTATCTAGCTCTCTCCGGGTGCCCTATTTTTAGCATTAGCTAACACTCCTCCCGTCCAATAAACGTCTTCCATATTTTACTTTTGTGTCTTCTACCCACTAATTTTGGTTGGCCGTCTAGTCGCGTACCGGATACATAGCGCACGATCTACGCGCTATAATTGGTGACCCCGAAGAAAACTATTTTGGTGAGTTCGGTACTAATATTACTTTTCAAATCCGGTAAATTATTCTGCCTACCCGTCTACTTTTACTTTTTAATACTTGCATTTATTTTCACACGCTCCGTAATTTTTCACCATGGAGGTTATACACTCACCTGACGATCAGGTTGGTGCGTTCCGTTTTCCTATCCCGTTTTTCCGTGATACTAACCCTAAGGCTTGGTTTAACCAGCTAGGTTCCATTTTTTCGTTACATGGCATAAACTCTGACAGCGTCAAATTTCACTGCGTTGTCGCCGCGCTTCCCCCGCAAGTCGTAGATGAACTTGACGATATCTTGGAACTTCCGGAACATCAGAAAAGTTACGATGAGCTTAAGGCCGTCGTCTTAAAGCGATTTGGCATATCACACCATACTCGCGTCACGCAGCTTCTTAACGAAACCGAGCTAGGGGATCGAAAGCCTTCGCAGTTGCTGCACAAGTTGCAAGCTCTAGCTAAGCCTCTCGCTGTTGGCGACTCTTTCCTTAAAGAGCTGTGGCTTCGTTGCCTGCCATGTGACATGCGCAATCCCTAGTATGCAAACGATGCGCCTCTTCCTCAGCTCGCCGATATTGCCGACCGTATTTGGGAATCCAACGCCCAAATATCTCAGGTTCAGTCTACTTCCAGTACAGAGGTAACAGAACTAAGAGCGCAAGTAACCGCACTTGCCAACCGACTAGAGAAGCTAACACACTCCGGATCCAACCGTCGCAATTGTTCCAGTAGTCGCAGTCCTCCTAGATCACGTTCGAAATCTCCCCTAGGTTAAGCTTTTGCTGGTACCACGAGCGATTTGGTCATCAGGCCAGCTCGTGTCGCCCGCCTGGTTTCTTCAAGCGCAAAGCGCAGGGAAACAGGCCAGCCAGCACGTAGGGGCGACGGACGTTGCTGGCTGCCCCAGTCGCCTTTTCTTTGTCACCGATCGCAGTACAGGAATACGCTATCTCGTTGACACCGGCGCAGAAGTCAGCGTTATCCCACGTGATTCTAATGCTATCGAAGAGGCGACCGGTTCATTGCGCGCAGCAAACGGTACCACCATTCGCGTTTATGGACAACGCTCGCGCACGCTTAATTTAAACCTATGACGTTCATTTAAATGGATCTTTCTAGTCGCAGATGTCCAGACGCCAATTCTTGGCCTTGACTTTCTGCAACACTTCGATTTGCTTGTTGACGCGAAGCAACGCCGTCTGATCTACCGTCAAACAAACCTGGCAGTTATAGGTACTTTGACCGACATAGAGTCAATCAGTACTGTATACGCCAACCACTCAAGCTCACCTATCGGTCAGATGTTTATTACCAAATTTCCGCAAGTATTTCGTGCAATCGCACCCTTTCCATCTTCCACGGATGCCGCAAAACACCATATCGTTACCAAAGGCCCGCCGGTTTTCGCCAAAGCCAGGAGAATGACCCCTGACAAGCTAAGAACCGCTCACGCAGAATTCAAGCATATGCTTGAACTAGGCATCGTTCGCCCATCTAAAAGTTCCTGGGCGTCGCCGCTCCACATGGTGCCCAAAAGTCAGGAGGCTGGCGTCCATGTGGTGATTGCCGCGCGCTCAATAACGTTACTGTTCCCGACCGATATCCGATTCCTCACATTCAGGACATCACGGCAAGCCTGCGCGGCACCCGTATGTTCTCGAAAATCGATCTGGTTGGCGCGTATCACCAGATTCCAGTCGCTGAAGAAGACATCCCGAAGACTGCTGTAATCACGCCGTTCGGGCTGTTCGAATTTTTGCGTATGCCGTTCGGTCTGCGCAACGCAACCCAGACCTTTCTACGACTCATCGATTCAATCACTAGAGGTCTAAATTTCGTCTATGCGTACATCAACGATATCCTAGTTGCCAGCGCGTTTAAAGAACAGCACGCAGAACATCTCAAAATACTTTTCGATGGGCTGGCCGCTAATAGCATCACTGTCAACCCTGACAAATGCATATTTCAGCAGCCTTCCGTCGAATTCCTTGGTCACCATATTAATCCGTTTGGTATACGGCCTCTAGACGATAGAGTCCGCGCCATCAGAGACTTCCCGGTCCCGACTACGTTAGCCGCTATTCGCCGTTTTAACGGCATGCTCAACTATTATCGACGTTTTCTTCCACACTGTGCCAATTTGCTAAGTCCACTAACCGACCTATTTCGTGGACTAAAAACGGCCAGGTGAAACTGACTGCCGTTGCTGCCGAAGCGTTCAAGGCCAGCAAAAACCTTATCCAGAGTCGTTATGCTTCATCATTTTGATCCGAACGCTCCGCTCAGTGTTGCTGTTGACGCATCGGACACCTCCATTGGCGCAGCCCTACATCAACGTACAAATGGAGGCCGGAAACCTCTTGAATTCTACTGTAGACGTATACAACCTGCCGAAGTGAATTACAGCACGTTTAATCGCGAACTGCTGGCCGTTTATTCTACAGTTCGACATTTCCGACACGTCCTTGAAGGTAACACCTTCATTATCTTCACCGATCACAAGCCGCTTATCTACGCATTCCGAAATCAATCAGCTCGACACTCACCACGTGAGATTCGTCAGCTGGATTTCATTGCCCAATTTTCGACTGATATAAGACACATTTCTGGTCAACAAAACGTCGTCGCTGATGCACTTTCAAGAGTATCTGCGATTGGTCCTGCCGGGCAGGCAATCGATTTGTCTGGTACGGCCGTCGCGCAATCAAACGACCAAACCTTTTCGAATCTTCGCGATTCTTCTTTGAAAATATCCCCGCACCCATTGCCGTCATCTGATGGTAACATTTTATGCGACACATCTACCGGACGACCTCGGCCTGTCGATCCAGAAACTTTTCGCCGTATCGTTTTCGACACCCTCCACAATATCGCACACCCAGGCATTAAAGCTACTGCTAAGCTTGTCTCTGACGGATACGTTTGGCCGGGGATGCAACGCGATCTTACACGTTGGGCACGCAGCTGTCTCGCCTGTCAGCAAGCCAAGATTCAGCGGCACGTCTCCGCCCCACTTGGTCGCTTTCCGCCCGTTTCAGCGCGATTTGCCCATGTCCACCTCGACATGGTGGGACCACTGGCCCCGTCAAAAGGAATGGTCTATATCTTGACCATGATTGATCGTTGCACCCGTTGGCCCGAAGCCGTTCCCATCCCTGACGTAGCTGCGGAAACCGTAACACGCGCTTTCGTCGAGCGCTGGGTCGCTTCACACGGCTGTCCAGCCACAGTGACTACAGACCGCGGTCCGCAATTCGAATCTACGACATTTAACGATCTCCTTAAACTCATTAGATGCCAACGCATTCGCACGACCGCCTACTATCCGCAGGCGTACGGCATGGTGGAACGTTTCCACCGACAGTTGAAAGCCTCACTTAGCGCCGCCAATGCGCTGAGTTGGACTGAATTGCTGCCTATGATCCTCCTTGGGATCCGATCAGCCCTAAAGGCAGATCTACGTACGTCTAGCGCCGAGTTAGTATAAATAAATAAATAAATAGTAAATTCTCGGTAAAACGAGACACACCTGTAAAGGCGTGATCAAATATGCATACAAGCATAGCTTCTGTGGAATGTTAAAACATTTCGTTTTAATGAAAGATATAAAAAAAGATGTCCGTATGAGTGAGCATACTGTCAGGTAATAGTCAGACCCAGGGACATTATGGCGCTGTGGCGCGCAAAAATCCGTCAAAACACAAGTTGGGGGTAATTTCGCCAGGTAGTGATCCGTGAGCACAGGAGCCTAAACAAGGCTTTTTGCAACCACTAACCATTACGAGATAGAGATGATCTGTGCCCCAACAAAGCATTCTTCATAGCAGAATTAGTTGCACAGGTTCGATGTAGAAGGCTGAGGACTGCGTCAGTGTGAAATGCTTAGCTGTGACTTTATTTTGTGGCTAGTCACAACCGCCACGTTGCAGTGTTGATAAACGGACATTTGTGACTTTTTGTAGGGAGAACGCTTGCCAGGCGAGAACCCACCACGTCCTGGAACACTGTCGTAGCTATCGTTGAACAGTAGTACAAGTCGGTTATGCATCCTATAGACCGATTTTGCATTCTAGTATTCGCAGTCGGTTGACAGCCAAAATTCTTCGTTGGTTGGCCGAATGGCTTAGTTCTGATACGGCAGCAGTCGTTGAAGCTGGTCAATGATGCAAGGTTCGAAGAGTCGAATGATAATGATGCAGGTGAGTAAACACATTGTTAATAGAGGCCGGCTCTTCTATTATATTCATGCTCGGCTCGCAAACCATGTCCAGCTATCCTCCCTGGACTTGTCATGGGGTCGTTGAGTGAAGTTGTTTCTTGTGGCTGAATATGTCCTTAATAGGTAAAAACGCCATTCTCCGCAAATTGGATTTGGGATTCCTGCAAATGTAAGTAAGTGTAACTGTTTCCGTAGCCAAGTGAAAATTCCATGGAAGACCATGGGAATAGCCACGTAAACGTGCGCAACGCTGTCCGTGAAATGACATCAGAATAGCTCCAGGTGACTGGCGAATAGGAATGTTTGAGGCAGTGAAGGTAATCACGCCAGAGTTGTTTGTCTTCGATTGTGGAACGGGGGATCCATGTACATATATTCTTCCAGGTGAGTAAATTATTCTCTGAGTACGAGGCAAGCTAAACCCATTTGTTTAGACCCCATGAAGGTAGCGCCTCCGGGATGGCGGAATGAGCTTCATTCGGACCAGTGTGTGGGGTTTTCATTTCCTGGAAAAAGAACCAAGCGTTTTGAGGATGGGTCGGCCAGTCCCAGTGGATAAACCTTCTTGTTTTGGCCGATGTACCTGTGGGAATTTTGGGAAAAACGGGCAACGGACAAGAGGTGGCCAAACAGAGACAGCAATGAATCAAGAAGCAATAACACAAACTGGTGGCGCTCACCGGTGCCTATGATTCATTCAAACTTATGTAATTTTGTTTAGTATACATAATTCGCGAGCGCGTTCTATACATTACGTCGCTGGTGTGACTCAGACTACAGCTACTACGTGGGAAGAAGGTTCTTCAAGCGCAGGGTCAAAAGACCGCTATAACAAAGCGTTTTAACAAAAGTTAAGCGAATGATGCGATGGTTTTAGAGAAACAGGTAAACCGATGGTGACGGCAGAAGCCAGAATGCGAGAGGCATCTTAGATGAAACTGAGGACAACTAGGTTGAGACCGAATGCGGGAGCAAGATAGGTAGAGCAACATTACAAGAGGAAAAGGAATTTCAAGGAATCGGCTAGGAGCGAATGAATGCTGACAGCAATACGAGGAGTAGTTCGTAAGAGTAATTACACTAAAGCGTTCATGATTCTACAGTCCAAAAGCCGTCAGAATCTAGGAAAATGGTCACAGGGGTCCAAAACTGCCCTGCATTGGGAGTCGTTATGACACGTACGGTCTCAATAGTATACCAGTGCGAGCATAAGGTAAAGAACATAGGAATAGGAAGAGTGGTAAGTTGAGCATACTAATGGAAGTACTAGTCAAGCAACGCTTAGCAATGGACCGCCAATACTCAGGAACGAGCTCAGAGCGAATGAAATCATGCGCAGGAAGATAACTTGGATAGGCGCAATGAGTGTAAGCTGTAGGAATACAAATTGGAGCGCAATAAGAGAAAAGGCCAAGGATAATAAGAAATAAAAGCAGGCGGAAAGTTACAGACGGGAAAGGTGAGGGAGGAAAACGGCGATTTCTTCTCCGTTAGTCCCAGAATTACCCGTTACGACGCAAATTATGCACGCCAGCTTGCCACGAGCATGCGTCAGTACAAGCTTTCCAACGTTAGAGAACAACAACGTAAATCTTTTATTCCACAAGACCTGCAGCATTGTCCGTTCGTTTTTCTCCGCCTCGGTGGTCTCCGCAGACCATTGGAGCGACCTTACGAAGGTCCCTTCAGGGTTCAGCAACGCAAGGACCGCGTCATTATAATCGACCGTTCCGGTAAACGTGAAGCTGTTACGATTGACCGTCTCAAGGTTGCCCACGTGGAACCTGAGCTCGACGAAGACCCTTACTCGTCTTCCGACGAATCAACGCAGCCTATGATGGAAGACTCGACTGCTTCCAACATTTCTGACCCCAAGTATCACGCTCCATCCAAGCCTTCTACTTCAGCTCCGCCGCTTCCCATCGAACCAACTGCCACGTCTTCAGCAGTTCCTCCAATTTTGCGATCCGATAGGACGTCTAAGACCACGCCTTCCTCTGATTCGAACAAGTCGACTAGGTCGGGTAGAC